AAACTTGTAAGGTGATCTCATCTGTTCCTACAACCTAGAGGTTAGATTTTGCACAAGAATATAAGCTTCTTTGCGACTTAGAGAGCTCTTGGTTCATTTTATTTATTACTTTTAAAAAACCAAACAGCCTACTCGTTATCTTTTTATTCAGTCCTTTTCACTACTCTGAAGTTCTCAAACATCATCTGAATTTGTCAAGAAATATGGTTCATTCATACTCTTTAAGATGTCAATATGTCTAAATGTCTTCACTTACTCTGTTTTTCCTTCTGGATCCTGGCTTTCTAATAATGCAATATGAATTAAATTTACAGTGGACCTCTTGGTCCACAGAGTAGTGAGGATAAAGGTAACTTGTACTTCAGCATCCAGTTGATATTCCAGGGAGTTTTTTTTCTTCTTTAATCTGAGAGTGAGTATCTTTTCATATTCTCATTTGCTGGTTTAGGAACTCATTTCAGGGCTCCAAAACATGGGTACATGAAATGAAATGAAGGAGAGGAAGTTTCAGGGAAAAAAAAGCAATTTTGTTTTCTTTGATGATACATATTGTTTGGAGTGGTGGTCTAGCCGTAGAGCTAGTGGCACTATATTTCTTTGTCAACAACTTATTCCAGTTTATTTTGTTGTACCATTTTCTTGGGGGTTTTTTTGTCCTAAATGTACATAAGCCCTTAAATCTCTCTTATTGAATTTGCTGAATAACAGAAAGTTGTGTGTGTGTCTCAGAAAAAAAGTCAAGCTTCTGCAATGGCGGGAGCACGTCTATTGAGTGAATGTAAGTAGCAGGTTACTAATGCGTGGGCGTGTTGGAGAGAAGGTGTGGGAGAGTGCATTCCTAATACTCTTGATTGATCTGTTAGAAGAAGTCTTTACCTTTTCATAATTATGTTTTGGAAAATCTAATGTTGTTTGTATATACACACAGATCATGTGGACAAAATGCAACATTTAATTTTAAATTTGCTTTACTGTTTACATTTTATCTTCCATATTTTCTGAAAATCTCTGTTTCTAACAAACTAGTAAATTATGAGTTTGAACATGTAAATTTCAGTCAGTCCTCAAAAGTTTAATTTCCAGATAAAAGTAATTGTATTTTTCACTGTAGGCTCTTGGGAGGTCAGGACTTCTCAAGACAAATTTCCATTGGGACTGCTCTGTCTATCATTAGGTACATCCCCAAAACTAAGCAATCTTGCTTTTGTTACCTTTTAATAAATCTCTGTAGAACACCTTCCTTGTTCTCTAAATTTCATTTGAGTTTAAAGCAAAATCCACTGTGGCTCAAAAACCATTGAAACCATACTTATAGTGGATGAATTCAGATATAGAGGCAATCTAAGTTTTACTCGGGGCAAAACTGCACTAACAGTCCACCCTTTTTCAGTCATTCAACCGTAAAGTTGATAGTGATTGTCACAGATCCTTTTATCTTCTGCAGTATAGTTTTGGTCTTTTTAAAAAAGTTTTACTGCTTTCTCAACAAGGTTAGATGAATTTGCTTGAATACTCACCTGACGAAAGTTTAGGATGACACAGGCTTCCAAGTTTTTCTTGTCATTTTCAGTAGCTGCTCACATTTTAAGATCTTAGTATATTTTTGCATATGTTTGGTTGGCATCTTCACGAAGTTAAATGCCATGCTCTTTTCAGATACAAAAGCAGTACACTACCTATTGCAAAATAACTTTTACAAATATGGAGAATTTTTTTTTTTATGTTTGCATAAGTGTTGACTCTTGAGGCTTTTTTTGAACTTACAGTATAAAATTTTAGATCTGTAAATTCAGATAACTTAAAAGAATATATCCAGAGCAAATGACTGAGTCATTCCTTCAAACTTCTAATTTTGTTCTACTCTTAGGGAGATGATATTCATATAAAAGAAAATTACAGCTTTCAAGTTGAAGTCTCCACTTCTCCCATACATAAATGACGTAGTCAATATTTAATTCTTGGCAATGTTGTGTGTCAAAGTCAAATGAGGCAGGTATAGAAGACCAAGGACACGTTTTAAATTATCAACAGGAATACGTTTCAGTGACAAGAGGTGTTCAAAGTATTTCGCTTTGCAAGATCATCAGTCTCACTGATGTTCAGTTCTTGCACTTCAATGTGCAAGTTTTCTTTCAGTGTTATCTTTGATCATGAAGGATCCTAAGGAACTTGTTATAGTAATTTTAAGATGAGAGTGGTTTTTTCTCTTTCCACCTTGCTACTTCATTTGCAACACTTAAGAAAAGGTCTGTCTCTACTTTACTTGCTGGTTATCTGTCGCTTCACTAGCTATCCATGTTTTAGTTACACTGAGTCAGATAAAACCCTCGGTGCTGTTAAGTTACATCCTTACATATTCGTAGTTGTGATAGATAGCTTTTAATGCCTACGTAAAAGAAGTGTGTAGCTTGTGTCTTACAACTAAAATGAGCAAGCAAGTCTACTTTTCTCATCTATCCACTGCTCCATCCACACCTTCTTTGCAGCATACTACATTTAATTTTGCTAGTTGATAACTCTCTGTAACTTTCTATAGCTGTCTGCTATTGAGAACTGTTAATCTTTGTCATTTGTAAGTTGACATTCGCCTAAAGACCTAATACTCCTAATGTAAAAATATGATACTTATAATTTATGTAAATGCTTCAGCTGCAGAGACTTTCTGACATAAAAAAGCCTAGAAAAATGCATTAAACTTTTTTAAAATAAATTAAAGACTGATGAAATTATTTATGGCAAAAGATATTTTATTACCTCAATCATCTCTCATGCTTGCTACCAATGAAGAATGATGCTTTGAACACCTTCTGTCATGAACCATAGCTTTAATATTGAAAGTGCACATTGGTGCAAGTTTTCCAGTCTGTCAAATGAGTTACAGATTTATGTTTTCAGTCTAGTGTTGTGACTTTTCATAAACAATCACTATGTGAAGTAATGACAGTAGCAGATGGGAGCAGGTAGCATTGGAAAGACGCTTTTGTGTCAATTATCGTTACAAAGTTTTCAGTAGAAATAATCAGTATTTTTCAGTAGAAGAAGGATCAGGTTGCTTACCAGAAATTCTTAGTTAATAATAAGATGCTGTTCAGCACGTGATTTGGCAAGCTGTAGGTTAATCCCTAAGGTAGATATTTTGTGTACATTGAGTGCATTAAAATTTAGATTTGTTATCTTGATTCCTGCTACGTCATCTTAAGATGGTCATCAAGGTGAAAACAATATGGCAATATGTGAATATATTTTAAAGTTTGTATGCGTACACTAAATTCCCAAGTAAGGTTTTTTCTTTTTGATTTATTAAGTTC